GCCGCCGCCTCACCTCCGCTCACCGCGCCGCCGCCATCTTCGCAGGGAGGAGGCGCCTCGGAGCACCGCCCCCGGCGGAGGCGGCCGCGCGGGCCCCGTGCCCGCGGGACCGGCGGCGGGAGCGGCGGGGGCTGGCTGGCCGCGCCCGGCGGAGGCGAATCGGGCGCCGGCGAAGGTCCAGCCGCTCCCGCCTGAGCCGTGCAAACCCGGGGCCGTTGGGAAGCCCCCGGGTCACAGCCGGCTCCGGTTGGGGAGCGGCCGCGGGGCAGGGGGACCCGCGGCCCGGAGCCCCGCGCGACTGCTGAAGGCACCGCGTCGGACCGCACGCCTGCCGCGGAGGGACCCGAGGAGGCGCGGGGTCGGGGCAGCGCCGTGAAAGCCCCGTACCCGGCAGCTGTTGACTCTGCGCCCTGGAAGAACTGGGTCCGCGGCGCGGCTCTGCCTGCTTTGTATCCGGGCGCTGCATCAGACCCGCTCAAATGGCGGAGCGCCCGCGGGCGCCTGCGGGTGGTCGTCCTGGCTGGTGAGCAGCCCGAGGCCCACCCAGCCCAGTGCCCCGCGCAGCAGCCGGCCCCCGGCTGCCCGGCCAGGTGGGTGCAAGACTTAGAAACAGGGAAACGGCGCGAGTCAGAAGGGGTCTCCCGGGCCATCTAGTCTGACCCCCGGCTCCAGCCGGCTTTGCTCACCACATGCCCACCGTGTGCATGTCCAGCCTATCCCCCCGCCCAGCCCCTCTGACTGGAGTGCCTGGCATGACACCTCTGATGAGGGAGGTGGCACATCGCCAACAAGGGCAGTAGCCATGGGTAGCCTCCTCCCCCCTCCATGGACTTGCCCAGCCCCCTTTCAAAGCCATGGGAAGGGCGGCTGTCTCTCCTTCCCGGGGCAGCGAGTTCCTAGTGCAGCTCTGAGCAGCGAGGAAGCCCTTCCTCTGATCTGTCCCGAGGTCCTGCCAGTGCGCTTCATGGGGCGCCCCTTTGGGCTCTCGGGCCTCCCTGTCCACGCCACACATGGGAATGGCTCCAGCCCCTTCGTCTCAGAGTCGCCCTTCTCAGCGCTTTCTGCTTGCAAGTGCAGCAACCAGAACTGTGCACGGTATTATAAGTGCAGTTACACCAAGGAGCTGCATACGCAAAGTGCAATCTTGGTGCTTATATTCAGTTCCTTTCCTAATTATTTTATTTATTTCTTTATTTTAAAATTTTCTATATTGTTTATATTTCCATAGAAAATCTCTGTACAGTTTACAGTAATAAAAACATCAAAAGAAGTTTGATGCTCCAGGAGCCCTCTTTAAAGGAGATAAAAAGAACATCTACCTTGAGCAGGGCCTTCTCTGAGGTGGTACCCAGATTATGGAATGTGCTCCCTGGAGAGGTGTGCCTGGCACCAAGTTTATATTCTTTTCAGCGCTAGGTTAAAACCTTTTTATTTAATCGCTATTTTAAAAACTAATATTTTATCATTAACAGATGATGTTTTGTTTTGTTTTTTGTTTTTATATAATCTTTTATTGAATTTGTTATTTATAAATATTTTATTGTTTTTAATTGTATATATTGTGAGCTGTCCCGAGATGCCAAGGCATGTGGTGATGGCATACAAAAGTTTTAAATAAATAAGTTACAAATACTGCATTACATGGGTGGAGCTGGCTGGAGTCAGAGACGAGACTAGATGGCTGGGGAGGCCTCTTCTGACTCTCTTTGTTTCTGTGTATCTACTTGATTAAAACTGAATTAAATAAGATATATATTAAGATTAACAATTAAAATACTGGTTAAATAAAAAACAAGTCTTGGTCTGGCGCCAGAGAAGATAAAGAGTTGGTGCCAGACAAAACTCTCTGGGAAGGGTAACGATGCCTGGCACAGAACTTTGCACAGCAGCGTCCACATTTTCATCAACCGGTCCTCCATGCGCCCAAGAGCCCACGGCCAGGGTATCTTTGCTGTGCAAGGAGAGGAACCTGCAGCATGGATCCTCTGCGTTTTTATAGGGGTACCGTAGCAATCATCACATCACAGGTCGTGTCAGTAGCCAGAAAAAACACAGGTCTAGCAATCTGCTCTGATGGCCCGGCATAGAAACTTGGATCTCAGTGCAGAGCCCCATAATTTTTGCAGGAAAATCCCCCAGGCCACAGCCCAATCACAGAGCACATCTGCCTCCATGAACAGAATGAAACAGACTGGATCCCATACTTGGTGCAAAAATACGGATCCACGATATGAACCTTGATGAATTTTAAATGTTAGAAGAGTAGAGAGGGGCCTATAAGGCCGTTGAGGCCAACTCCGTGCCCAGTGCAGGGTTCTGAGTGAAAGCATCCCTGACGGCCGGCTGTCCAGCTGCCTCTCAGATGCTTTTGTGGAGGGGAGAGCCCACCGCCTCCCTGGGTCATTTGTTTCATGCCGGACTGTTACAATACTCAGGATAAATTTTCCTGATATTTAGCCGGAATGTGGCTTCCTGCAACTTCATTCTGGCATGATGGAGAAGAGACCTTGGCCCTCCCCTGTGCAACAGCCTTTCTGGTATTTGAAGAGTGCTATCAAATCTGCGCTCAATATTTCATGAGCGGAGCCAGCTAGAGCCGGGGGTCAGACTAGATGGCCCGGGAGGCCCCTTCCGACTGTCTCTGTCGCTATGTTTCAATCTTCTCAGGGCTAAATCTCTCCAGCTGTTTCAGTCTCTCCAAACACATCTTTGTGTCCAGCCCGATCATCCTTGTTGCCCTCCTCTGGACTTCTTCCAATTGGTCTGCCTCTTCCTTGAATGTGGTGCCCGGAAAGGAACGCAGTTCTCCAGATGGGGCCTAACTAGTGCCAGATAGAAGGGAACCAGCACCACACGTGCTTCAGGAGCTGACCTTCGATAAATGCGGCCCAAAACAGCATTCGCCTTCTTTTGCAGCCACATAACATGGTTGGCTCATATTCAGCCCGTGATCTACTGCAGTTCCGAGATCCTTCTCACTTGTAGGACTGCGGAGCGAAGTATCTCCCATCTTGTAATGGTGCCTTGCATCATCCTGCCCTTCACTTGCCCTGCTTGATTTCTTAAAGACAAGCGCAAGTGGTCCTGAGAGTTCTCCTGCCAGTCCCTGTATTATTCTAGGATGCAGCTCATCAGGCTCTGGAGATCTGAACTCACTGAAAGAAATGAGCTGTTTGCTGATGATTTGTTCATTAATCGCAAGCATCAGTCCTGACCCTTCAGTTCGTACTTCATTTCTGACCGGGGGTGGGGTGTCATGGACCTGCTTTGCGGAAAAGTCTGAGCCCAAGCAGAAGTTGAGCCTTCAGCTTTTTCTGTCGCTGGTTGCCAATTTGCCCTCCTCAGTGAGATGTTGAGCCATGTCCCTTTTCTCTGTCATTTACTGTGGACATACCTGAAAAAGCCCTTTTGCTGCTTTTGGCATCCCTCGCTAGCCTCAGCTCATTCCCAGCTTTGGCCTTCCTGAGGTGGTTCCTGCACTGCTGTGCCACCTGGCAGCACTCGCCGGTTGTCACTTGGCCTTCCTTCCACTTCCTAGATGTGCCCGTTTTTGTTTTTAGCTCAACTCGGAAGTTTTTTGTGGAGCCACATTGTTTTCTTCTGCCATCTGCTCTCTTTTGTTTTTGCTGGAATTGTGTGTCTGTAACCGTGCCTTTAAAATTTCCTTCCTTAAAAACACCCACCCATCTTTTCCTTATGGTCATTTGCCATGGGACCTAACTTATCTTTGCCCTGAATTTATTAAAATCAGCTTTCCCAGTAAGTATATGGCTACGCTCTATTTTTTCTTCCTTTAAAACTAAGAGCTCAAGTATGTTGTGGCCACTTTTCCCAAAGTCCTCATAACTTCCACTTCATCCACAACATCATCCCTATTAGTCAGCATTAAGTCAAGGATAACCAACCTGCTAGTTCCTTCCTCCTTTTTCTGTAGAAGAAAGTTCTCCACCATGCATGACCAGAATTTTTTGGAGGGGCCACTTTTGGCAGAATTTGTCTCCCAACAGAAATCGGGTTAATTGAAGTCCCCGTTACTACCTCAATGCCTTTCCTTAAAATGCTAGCAAACAAACAAACAAATGTATTTATTGCTTGCTTGCATTTATATACCACCCCAATGGCCCAGAGGGCTCTCCATCTTTCACATAAAGCCATGGTCATGTGATGTCATGTCACGTCACACAAATGCCCCTGTACGGAGCCCATTACAGATCCAGTGCTATGCTGTTCTGCCAGAGTAAAAGATCTGAAGATCAAGGGCCAGATCCTGGAACTGAACCCTAAACATAATGAATCCTGTAGTGTGTTATAAAACTCTTACTGTATAACTGCACCTACTGTGCTTTTACTAGAAATCCCTCCCTGTAGCCCACCCTCAGCTTTCTTTGCAACCCTGAGGCTTCTCCATGTCCACCTGTTCTCCCCATTTCAAGCTCTTTACGCTAGGTACTGCGGCCCATTGTGAGTGGCAAGGTCCTTGTGGCCCAGTCACCGAACAGGAGCACAGGCGCCATTTTCCCACCCCACACGCCCTTCCTTACTGCAGCAGGGCCCAAGGACAGCTGTCCCAGGCGCCTGAGTGCTGCAGAGGAGCCTGTGCAGCTTATAAACCACACTCTTGGCTGTGTTATTGCTTTTAAGACATCGGTTTTATTTTGAGTTTTGGGAGGGTTCCTGCCCTTGGAAGGCAGCCAAGTATTTTAAAACAAAAAGGGAATAAATAAAGCACACATTGAACAGGCCAGTCTGGCACAACCAGTGTCTGGAGGCAGTACCAGGGAACAGCACTGGCTGCTCTCTGGAAATTGGACAAGTCCCGCTAGAAAGGCCACTAGCCCGATCAGAAACAGCTCCAACCTCCGCTCCAGACAGGCCTGAACCTCAGCATAACTCTGCTACTTGTAAAAGGGGACAGTCATCCGGGAAACCCAGCTGGAGAGTCGTGTCTCCGTTTTCCTGTTGTACATGGGTGACCACCCATTCCAGAGAAGCCAGCGCAATGCAGAAGGAACTCCCTGTGGAAAAGGGGTCACATGGCTGCTGCTGCCCCCGATGCACTCTGCATGCTTGATCTTGAACCGGCCACTTAACATGGGCACTGACTGGTGGCGATCCTGTCAAAAGTGGCAAGGCTGAAGTAGGGAACTCTGTGGGCCCAAACAGTATGCATCTTAGGTTTGTAGCTTGAGCAGCTTCCACATCTGGCTCCTTCACCATGCAAAATCACCCTGCAGAACAGCTCCTGGGCAGCAAGAATGTGCCTGTGCCCCTCCAGAACCCCCCTGGTACTGCAATGCTTCAGCAGCAGCTTGGCCTACAAAATTACAGCCCAACCCCAAGTCACACACATTCAGTTAGTTACGGAGTGAAAGGGACGCCACTCCAATGCACAACACTGGGAGTGAGGCCATGAGCTCACCGCCTCTTCCTCCCAGCACCATAGGCCTGTCTCTGGGCATGTCACAATCTCACGGTAAAAACAAACTTGCTTCAACTTTTGCTTTCTCTGCTTTCCTCTTTTTAAAGATGATTTCTAACTTTTATGGCCACAAAATATACTTCAGCTTTGTACCTTCAGGCAAGCAAGAGAAGCTGCACTGGCTTCTTTGCCCTGCCCTGCCCATGTCGGTTGCAGGCCATGTTGTTGCCAGGCAACAGAAGGGCTGCTGCACCACCTGAACCCGGGACAGGCGCGTTCCGATCCACATGCAGCTCTGCAACAAGGTATAGTTTGGCAACGTGGCTTGGAAGCTGCCACCCCCACTGCCCCCCTCACTGGACTTGAAAGAAGGGCAGCCTGGCAGACACACTTCGGGAAAGAGCTGGAATCCCTCGTGGCTGCTTCTCCTTTCCTGATCCTACTAAATCAGCCAGTACATGGAGAACGGCCTAGTGCAACAGCCAAGCGGGGCAGCAAGCTTTCCAGCAAGTCCCGAGGGTTGCACAGCTCCTTTCTCCACCTCCCACAATTGGCAGAACGATGCAAAGAAAGCAATTCCCAGAAGTCACTGCAGCTCAGAATTCGGGTCTTCAGCCTACGCCAGACTGAAAGGATGGAAAAGCAAAAGATCTCCAAATTGCAAGCATGGCTGCAGTCAATAGCACCGATCCCTAGCCTGGCCGTCTGCTGCACAAACTGCAAGCAGGCTGCGGGAATGAATGAATCCTTGGGAAAAAAAAGGAAGTTGGGTGCTTTGTGCATTTTATTCCTGGATTAAAAACTGCTTGTAAATTCTGTTCCAAATCACACCGTTGGAGGTTCTTGGGACATTACCCTTTTTTAAACACCCTGAACTAAACTGGGAGTGGGGGAAGGGAGAGCACATAAACCATCGGGAGCATCCACAGGGATGTTCCCATCCTCCATTCTTCAAGCAGCAGCCTCCCCAAAGGCAGTGGCAGCAAAGTATGTTTGACCAGAAAAACCACATCAAGAACAGGAACTGGGGCAGGTGAAATAGGATAGGGGGAAAAAACCAACCAGATTTGCCAGTGCTTGAAGGAGGTCCATTCAGCTTTGAAGCAGCTGGCAGGAGCGACTCCAGCCCCATCTTTGCTTCCGCATCCCGCCCCACCTGGGTAGGCCTCTGACTCTGCATCTCCACAAGATCTGCTCAGCCTTCTATGACCACTAGAGCCAGGCGGCAAGAAGAGCCTGGCATCACTCACTGCAAAAGGGCACCAGGGCGGGAGCCTGGTCCTGCTTGCAAGCAGTGCTAGCCCAGGGACTGCCCATGCCGGGGACGCCGGGGTGGGCCGCCGCTGCCCCAGGTCCGCCTGTTGCTCCTGCCTTGCCACTGCCAGGTCCCTGGGCAGTGCCGCACGACATCGAACCCCAACGCTCCGGGCCGTCGAGGGGAAAGCAACCCAACGTTTTAACCCAGCCAAGCCAAGAACGTTTATTGGCCAGGGGGCAGCAGATGCTCTTTCCCACACAAGCCCAACTACTCATTTGGACTTGTGACATGCAGATTATACTGGTGTGTATAAAAAGCAAGGCAGCCCTTCACATTTACTGGCACTTAAATCTTGTCCCCTCTTTCTCTCCTTGTGGGAAGTACCTCTGGGCAATGGAAGGCCAGGTGCCCCTGCCTTGCTGCGTAGCTTTTGGCGGGAAGGACAGGGCAAGTAAGACATACAGCCTCTATACTGAAAAAGCAAGCTAATCCAACACAATCATTGGGGTCATTCTAGAAGTTACACTTCTACTAACTAGAGGAGGAGCCTAATTTTGAAGGTAAAGGGTGGAGAGAAGTTGGAGCAGGGACTACATCTCTCAGACTGGTAATGAGAACTAAAATCCACGCACGATGCAGTTTTTAAAGCATTTAGGTTGGAAACGTACAACAGCCTCCACGGAGCTCAAGGCCTCTTTGTTCCGGTTTTTAGTCTGTGAGCAGCTGTTGGACAATATGGGTATGAAAATGGCAGTCCCCTCGAAAGGTCCTGGTGTGCCGATCTTCTTGCTGCGGACGGGAGGAGCCGGCAGCGTTAGGATGGCTGGGAGCCCAGCAGTCTTTCAATGGCGGCATTGACATCTCCCCCTGTGGCAATGAGCGCCTGCAAGTTGGCCTCGCGGTTGATAAACCCCATGGCGTTGAGTTGCTCGAGCTGCTGCTGGAACCGTACTTCTGGGTTCTGCGCCTGCCAGCAGGGGGAGGGGGGAGAGAAGAGCTACACAGGAGGTGCTCCAGAACCCTGAGTGGAGGCGGCTGCCTGGCATGCACAGGGCCTCCCGCGCAATCTCCAGGTAGGGCTGGGGAAAAGTCCTGCTGGGTGGACGGCATCACACAGCTGGGTGGGCTGAGCAGGGAGGAGGCCCCGGCCCCGGCCTGAGGAGGCCTCCTCGGCTCCTCTGCACCGTGCAAGAGGCCGGTGGGGCTGCCTGCCCTCTTGCTGCTGCAGCCCCAGAGGCTGCCCCTTCCTGCCTCTTGCACCTCCCCACGTGAGACCTGCCTGCACTCCAAAGGCGTGGAGCAGCACCCATTACAAGGACGCCAGGCAGCAGGGCCGGAGCGGCGCACAGGGCCTCAGGGAGGCAGTGCCCGTCTGGGCGGGCGGGCGGGCAGTCCAGCTACAGCCGCTCCTCAGCCTGAGTGTGATCAGCCAGGGCAGGGGAGACACGCGGTGATGCAGGCACCCCCCGCCACCTACTTGAGAGTTGGTGCCGGCCAACAGCTGGATCATGTGCTGCATGAGGTGCTGGTGGGGGTTGCTGTCCCCTGCTGGAGAGGCACTGGCAGGCGCTGAGGTGGAGGAAAGGGGGGTCTCGGGGGCTGTGCTTCCTCCGGCAGAGGGCGGGGGGGCTCGAGGCAGGCCGAAAGACCCCAGGCTGCGGAAACAAGGCAAGCAAGTCACTGAGCGTGGCGCAGCAGATGCCGCACGGCCTGGTGGGGGAAGTGGCCAATGCCGCCGCAGTTCAGAGTCCTGCTAGCGCGATAGGAGTCGGTCTCTCAAAGCGCCACTGTGATGGCCGAGCCCGCTCACTCTCGTCCGCGAAGGCAGCGACAGCCTCCCCACCGATCGATTTCTTTAAAAGACCCACCGGGACAGGCGCTTCTTCACCCCGTTGCTTATGGGGGTGTACAGGGAGGAAGCACAGGCAACGGCTGGCTCACTTCCCCGCCCAGCACCCCAGGCAGTGAGTGGAGACACGCCCAGCTGGCCCACCAGGTGCCTGGCCCTTCCCGTCAAGGCGCTGCTGCTTCCTGTGGCCACAGTGCCCCCCCACCCCTGATCCACCACCACATTTCTGTCTGCAGACTTGCTAAAGATACTGCTGAGGCAACCGTGATCTCTGCGCCACGCAGCGTCCGGGACATCAACACGGGCCTCCTGCCCAGCCCTCCAGGCTGAGAGATCCCCGATCCCCAGTTCTCCTTCCCAGGCAGGGAACTCTGCAGTGCTGCTCCAGCCTGAGCTCTGATTACCTGGGTACCAGGCCCGGGGCCTCTGTCTGCAGCGTCTGGAGCCCCTGCTGAATCTGGAGCAAGGCCTGCATGGCACGAGGGTTGGTCAGGATGGAGAGAGAGTCGGGATTTTGCATCTGGAGGAGGCAAGAGCCGAGAGTGAGCAGTGGGCAAGCATGCTGCTGTTCTGGGGGAGCTGCGCGCTGCTTCTCCCACACCCCTGGAGAGGCTCCCCAGCTGTCCTGCTTCAGGCAGAGCACTTGACAGGCAACGAGGGAGATTCAGGCCCCCTGAAGACACCGCCAGTGCTGAGAGCTGCAGGACTGTTATCTCACCCCCACCGTCCCTCCAACAACTGCTGTGGGTCGTTGCGCTACCCTCCGTGCGCTCAGGGGCCTTTCAGAACTAATGGAGGGAGCAGAGAAAGGTGCTTGGCCGTGCTGCTACCCAACGAATCAAGGGGGCCTTGCCCTGTCCCTGCCAGAACCACCTGGAGCCCAGGATGGCCCCTTCCCTCCACGTCCTGCACAGGGACTTGCGCTGTTGCTATCACCAAGGCTGGGGTAGCGTCATGTTGTTCTCGCTAACGATCAGATTATTAACAATATCAAATCCATCACAGTGGCTTACTTTATTAACAGTTTTTGCTGTTACGACATTGTTTTGATTCATGTTGCATGGATATTCATGCAGATCCAAAACCAGCAAACAAAGGCTCAATTCACACAATCACTGCTGGGGGAAACGCCAGATTCCCCCCTGCAAGCACCTGGCATGCGCAGGGCAAGTAACAGGATAGCGCTGCCGCCACACAAGCTGCTGACAGAAAGCGGCGGCGGCTCCATCAACAGAAGAATCAGCGCTGAGTGGGGGGGGCGAGGGGGGCCGTTCACCCAGGCGCTCACCGACTTTGCATCACAGCCAGCCACATCCACATTTGTCCCGAGGGTCTTCCAACTTGTGCAGTTTCAGTGGTGCTGCAAGACCATTTCCACTTGTGGAATTTTTGTCCGGCACCAACCGCAGCGGACCTCAGTATCCAGCCAACTGTCATTAACTTGCCACTCTTAAATCGCCAGGGCCCTTAAACTAAAGCGACCGTGATACCTGATGGAATGCCTCTCCTTAATCTACGTGGACATTGCAATCAACTGTGGCGCCGATCTCCAACCGCCACCTCTGAAGGAGGATTGGATGGTGGCAGCACGAAGGGCCTTTTCGGCGGTGGCTCTCTCTGAGGCCTGCCTGGCGCCAACTTGACTATCGTTTCAGTGCCAGGTAAAGACCATCCTCTACTATGGGGCATTCAGTCTACTGGGGTCTGCAATTATTTACAACAGGTCTTAAGATTTCCCCCTAATCGTTCTATTTTTAATCTGTTTTAAATTTGGTTTTAAATTTTGTATTGTAAAATTTTATGCTTTAATATGGTGTATTTTATACTGTATTTTTAATATGCTGTTGTGAACCACTCAGAGATTTGGCTGTTGAGTGGTATAGAAATTAAAGAAATAAAGCTCTCTCAAAATCAGATTCTCTTAGGTTTTACCAGCATGCAAATGTCTGAAAAGTCAGGGAACTAAACTGCGAGACGCCACACCTGTTGCAGGAAGGCAGGCAGCTGGAGCCGCAGCTGCTCCTGAAGTGGAGGGTTACCAGCAAAGAGGGGAACATTCACCATCATCTGCAAAGAAAACGGAAGAGGGTCAGGAAGGCAATGCAGCACTTCTGAGCACCTGTCCCACCAGGGAAGGCAGTGGCTGGCTATTCAATGCCCGGAAGGGAAAGGAATGGAGAGGTGTCAGTCTATCCTCCTTCTGGCGGCTTCAGAGTTAAATATTATGCTTATTTTAAATTCTGTGATAAGAAATCAATTCACTATTACCTGAATGACCTAATTCTGCAAGCAGTGCATATGGTAACTTTTTGAGAGAAGACTGAATGTGCAAGTGTCCAAAGCTTCAGGCCACTCTTGCCAGAGAAGGGAGCGGCTCCGTCCAGAAGCTCCATGTGGCCCCATTGCAGACCAGAGGGGCCCACGGTACACAGCAGCTCGAGTGCCTTCCACTGCGCCCTCTGGATGTGGACGCAGGCATCACTCACCTGTGTTGCAGTGTCGGGATTCTGCGCAAGGGTCTGCAGCATCGTGCGCATGTAAGGAGCAGAGATCACATTCTGCATAAGCTGGGGGTTCTCAGAGATCTGCTGCAGGAGAAGCTGCATCTCAGGGCTATTAAACATGCCTGCAATAACCGGGGTGGGGGAGGGAAAGGGGGCAGAGACAGAAGCTAGCGGTAAGAGTTCTTCAGTCCCACCAGGCAGCAATTCCTAGAGCACAAGACAAGGGTGGCCGCGTGTCCGAATCACAATCCTCTTTCATAACCCACCATATGTCAGCGGACATCCAAGCAATGCCAGGTCTCAGCAAAGACTGCAGGCATGGGCATGAGGCTGCCTGCCTGCCAGGTTCTTTACCTGGCTCTGTTCACAGGCCAACTCCGTGGCCACAAGCCAACTGTGACACAGTCGGAACCATTCGTACACCAGCAAACACACAGGGAGACGATGGCAGAATTGCCCCAGCTGAGAAGGTACCAGACAGACCAGCACACATCCTGCCCAGACCTCTGTCTGGTTTCTAAGTCTGCAATCTGCATTTTTTTCCGGAGTCACCAGGACTAGAAATTAAGGTCATTTTTAAAGGTTATTTTCAAAATGTGTCATTTACTACCAAGGAATACAAGAAATGACAGAAGAAACCCATGCTTCTTCCCCACAAAACTTCATCCTCCAGTAATATCCACCCAATTAAGAAAGGGATGGCATGGTGGTTTAAACCGCTGTGCTGCTGGGCTGGTTGATCGAAAGGTCGCCGGTTTGAATCTGCACAACGGGGTGAGTTCCCGTTGCTCCGTCCCAGCTCCTGCCAACCTTGCAGTTCGAAAGCATGCAACTGCAAGCAGATAAAAAGGTACCACTTCAGTGGGCAGGTAACAGCGTTCCGTGCACTTCGGTGTTTAGTCATGCCGGCCACATGACCACGGAGACTGTCTACAGACAAGCGCTGGCTCCCTCGGCTAGGAAACGGAGATGAGCACTGCCCCCTAGAGTCAGGCATGACTGAACGAAACATCAAGGGGAAAGCTTTACCTTTACCTTTAAAAAAAAAGGGATAATCGGGGGCGGGGTGGCTGCTTGTATGCTGCAACACACAAGACAGGCTTATGAAAACCCTCCCTTATGCCCCTTCCCTCCACAAATAAGTAAAACAAACTCCACAAGTGAAACAGGATACTGTGACAACAAGTAGCAATATTAAGACTTAAATAACATCAACCTCATGTGCAAAGACTCATTTGTACTAAGATGGTCTCATTCCAGCTGGAAGTCTTTCAAAAGTAGAAACACAGAAACAGAGCGAGTCAGAAGGGGGCTCCCGGGCCATCTAGTCTCACGCCCGGCTCCAGGCGGCTCCGCTCACGACCTGCCCACCATGTGCACGTCCAGCCTATCGTTGAACACCCTCAGCCATGGGGCCTCCACCACCTCCCGTGGAAGCCCGTTCCATACCCTCTGCGTCCTAACTGTCAGGAAGACAGGAAGACAGAAGTAACCACATGAACCATGATCTGTCCATTGAAGCGATGTCCCAGACCTCGGACGGTGACAGAATGAAAACGGAGTGCCAGCAGCTGGGTTCCACGACGGCCCCATTGCCAGAGGCCAAAAGAGCCTCCTCAAGGGGCTGTGCGTGCCTCGGCCCCAAGCGGCACCCCAGGCGAGCGCCTCGGTGCCCCCCCCCGCCGTGCCGCAAGGCACCTACCAGTCCCAAGGCTGGCCGCGCTGATCCCCAGGGGGTTGGACACGGCAGGCGCGCTCTGGCTTGTGGCCAGTCCGGGGCTCCCTTCGCCCCCCGATGCCTGGCTCTGAGAAGCCGGGGTGGGGCCCCAGGGATTGGGCAGCGGCTCTCGATTCTCTGTCCGCAGAGGCTGGGCGCTGGAGGAGTCGGAATTCCCGGACAGGGCAGAGAAGGGGTTGTTGCCAAACTAGACAGAGAAAATGTCACTGAATCAATGACTCCGCAAAGTCTCATCCTATTCCTGCTTCACGGAATCGGCAAAAGAATAAAATGAAGTATGTATATTACAAAGTAGAGCTTGATGAAACAATACTTACGCTGTGCTATGATATTTAGTGTGAGAAGCCTTGAGCCTCTGTTCTGAGATCACAAGAACCAGTCAGTGAAGCTCACCTATTGCTTAGAGTGACTTCTGCATTAAGAAGCTGCACTGGGCTCTCAGCAAACCAGAATCAGGAATGTTAATTTGAACAGGGTACAAACCTGGTTTGCCAAACTAGGGTTAGTTTGAACAAGAAACAGGACTGCCAACTTTAGTTATGTATTTTTAATTTTATAGAATCACAGACTCCTGTGGAAGGGCCAGAAGGCCATCAGGTCCAACCCCCTGCTGTTGCAGGACACCAAGTCACACTCAGGTGGCTGTCCAGGTCCTTTTTGAATGTCCGCAATGTCAGAGAACCCACCTCCTCTCCGGGCAGCTGGTCCCACTGCCGTATTGCTCTGACAGTGAGGAAGCTTTTCCTGATGTCTAGCCTGAATCTGGGTTATCTCAACTTGAACTGATTATTCCGTGTCCTACACTCTGGCATTAGTGAGAAGAGATCTTGACCTTCCTCTTTGTGACAGCCTTTGAGGTACTTATTGAGGGGTATCATGTTCCCCTCAGTCTTCTCTTCTCAAGGCTGAGCATGCCCAGTTCTTTCAGTCTCTCCTTCAAGGCAGTGCTTTCAAACCCTGGATGATTTTTGTTGCCCTCCGCTGGACCCTTTCTAATTTCATTGCATCTTTCTTAAATCTTGGTGCCCAAGAACTGGAGACGGTATTTCAGAGGAGGTCTGACTAGAGAAGAATACAGGGAAACTACTGATTTGATTAATACTTCTATTAATATATCCCAAAATAGTGTTTGCCCTTTTTGTAGCTTCATCACATTGTAGGCTCATATCTGGCCTGTTGTCCAAGGTCTTTTTCTCTCCAGTTCTGTTGAACCACACATTCCCCATCATGTACTGGTGCATTTAGTCTCCTTTTCCTGGGTGAAGGACTTGACACTTGTTCCTATTGAACCTCATTCTGTTGCTTTCAGCCCAATGTTCAGGTTTAACAAGATCATTCTGGATCTTCATTCTGTCTTCTTAGGTGTTTGCTATTCCACCCAGTTTTGTAACATCTTCAGATCTGGTTATCTTTCCTTGTTCTCCCTCATCCAAGTCATCAATAAAGAAGTTGAAGAGCACTGGACCCAGGACTGAACCCTGCGGCACCCCACTAGTCACCTCCATCCAATTTGAGAAGGTGTCATTGATGAGCACTCTTGGTGTCTGATTTACCAGCTGATTTTGGATCTATCTAATTGCATTTCTATCTAGTCCACTTTTTGCTAATTTGCTTATTAAGATGTGATGAGGCATTATGTCAAAAACTTTACTAAAGTCTAGGTAGATTATGTCCACCGTGTTCCCTTTGTCCATTTGGGAGGTAACCAAGTCAAAAAATTAGATTAAATTAGTCTGAGAAGCTGCAGAATAACTCAACAGGCCTCTCTAATCAGCGAACAAGAAGGGGGACAGGGGGAGCCCAATTTCTGTTAGTAGAACCAAATCTTACAGGCGAGTTTTAAAATCAGGTTTCAAAATACCTATGGAAGATGACAGTTTTTGCCTGGTGCTGAAATAAAATAATCGCAGAATCACCAGGGCCATGGAGGCCACCAGGTCCACTTCCTGCTGTTGCAGGACACCAAGTTACACCATCCCACTCAGGTGGCTGTCCAGTTTCTTTTTGAGTGACAACGCCTGGCAGACCTCTCTAGGAAGCCCTTTCCAAAGGTGGGGGGCAGCTACTGAAAGGACCCTTCTTCTAATCACCATCCCTCTAACTTCCTTTTAGGGATGGCTCCTTCAGAAAGAGCTCATGCCCAGATCTCAGTAACAAGAAAATAACAAGAATAACAAGAAATAAACAAGAAAATGAAAGCTAGCAGGCAGGTTAAATTCTTGGAACGATGGGCAGCATTCTGAATTACCTTAAGTCAAAGAGTTTTGGCATACGTCAGATCAGAAACCACTGGGTTCAAAGAGTTTCTAAGAACAATCACAGGTGCTGTAGGCAGCCACTGCAATTTGCCATTATGCCGAAAAACAGTTCTGTATTACTTCTGCACACTGCGAATCTTGACTAGTCCTGGCTCAGTTCAGCAATTTAAGGAGACAACCAGTAGATCAGATACCTGCTCTCTCGCTGCACTGAACATGGGCTCCTGGATATCTGTGTACATCCGGCGCAAGGCATTGTATCCTCCTGGGATACTCTCCAAGTTGCTCAGGGCTCGATCCTGGTTGCGCATCATCTCCTGCATCATAGCAGGGTTGCGTGCCAACTCCATTGTCTATGAAGAGGAGAAACAACTACAGTTTTAGGCAATCACAACAGGAGACTACGGAGTCCCAAGATCAGAAAACCCCAGGTTCAGAAACAGGAAAAATCTGCTGACATCTTTTACTGCATGTCCATCACTCCTGGGCAGCCCTGGGGTTTGCTGGAGATCCATCTAAATAGCAAGCAACAGGAAGACCGGGAAGCTATCAAAACAATTCTGGAATGAGGGTGGGCAAAAGCACCGATCAAGGCTGAGCAATAAAAATGCATTCTGCACTATGAACACCCTCTTGGAGCAGTGTTAAATCCGCTCATGGGAAATGGAAGGAACAGAACCTAACTGTGACTCTTCCTAGAGAAGGCAGTCCACCAAACTCTGTGAACAGGCAAGCACCAGTCGGGGAGCAACAAAGAGGTAACTCTGAAGGTGCAGAGAGGAGAGGAAGTGTCCACTGGACACCTGTCATCCAGATTCTCCACAATGCTAAGGCTTCACGGACGGGCAGAGAGAAGCAAGCTGTTGCTGCAACAAACGCCTCTCAAAGCCAACCTGGAGGTTGTAGGAAGGCACACAGGTAACATGGCATGCGTGGAAAAAAATCTGCCCCAGTGAGACCAAAACTGAACTTTTCGGCCTTTCACAAAGCTCCGTTAATGCAAGACAAAGCCAACAGTGCCTGTTGCCCTGAGAACCCCATCCTCATGCTGGAGCAGCAGCATCACGTTGTGGGGATGCCTTTCCTCAGCAGGGTCAGGATTGAGGGCAAGATGATGGAGCCAAAGACAGGTTAACTCTAAAAATAAAAAGGCAGGATGTAAGTCTAACAGTAAATCAAGAAACCCACTTCTGTCTGTAAGAGGCATTCCAGTGGAACAAGCCCCTCAACGCCCAGCCAAAATAACAGCAGAGTGGTTTGAAAACAAGAATCTGAACGTCTCGTCCAAAGCTGAGACCCCATCAATTGAGAATCTGAGGCAAGGCCTGGAAGTTGCTTTCTCCAACACTCGCCAGCCGACCTGGAGCACTTTTGCCAGGGAGAATGGGCCAATACGGCAGGATCCAGGTGCTCAAAGCTGAGTCTTACCCAAAAAGACTCACAGCTGTAATTGCTATCAAAGGTGCTTTCGGTTTGCTTTTGTTTTTTTAACTTTTGTGTCCCAGCAAAAATAGGCTGCACCTTCCTGTACTGAATATCTTGTGTCTATCTAGTGGTAACAATGCCAAACAACCCATTTGAGTTACAGGTTATAGCATAACAAAATGTGGATATGTTGAAGGAGAGGATGAAAGCTTCTGAAAGGTACTGTGTGTTAGCACAAACCATGGTTGGTGCAATGTCTGAATTAAGCTGCACACGAACAATGCCTCACTGGAAAGGGAGCCACTGCCCACCTGGCGCATCAGCTCTGGGTTATTCAGCATGTGGCTAATCTCCGGGTTGCGCTCCATCAGCTGCTGCATCTGAGGGTTGGCCATGATCATCTGCCTCATGAAGTCCGGGTTGGACATCATGTTCTGGACCAGTGGGTTCTCCATGATCTGGGACAGCATCTCTGGGTTGGACATCAGCTGTCGCTGCATCTGCTGCTGAAGCTCCATGAAGTTTGCTGAGCCCATCCCCAGGTGACCAAGGCCTGCAATGCCGCCAAACCCAGCTAAGAGAGGATGAAGAGAAAGGAACAGCTCAGAAATACATGCACTAAGAAGAGACTGAGTTGCCTGTCACCAGCAGGTAGAAACCGAACATGGTACCCTTCTGGGGCAACTGTCTGAGTTGGGGGCACTGCAATGCAGTGGTTCTGCTTCTACTTATAGAACCATAGAATAGTAGAGCTGGAAGGGGCCATGAAGGCCATCAGTTCCAACCCCCTACACTCTGTTTACAGAAGGTGGTGCTTGCAGAATATTGTTCATCCCTATGGATTCTCCCGCATGGAGTTCCTCAGGGGTCTGTTCCATCCCCCATCTACATGAACCCCGAGTGGGGTCATCCTGGGTTTTGAAGTGCATTGCTATCAGTATGCTGATGACACACAGCTATTTCTCCTTTTCGTCTCCATCAGGTGAGGCTGTGGATGTGCTGAAGTGGAGAGCAGCTGGAGCAATGGATTGAATGAGAGCTAACAAACTGACACTCAAGCCAGAAAACACTGAGACACTGTTGCTGGGTAGTTACTTCAACCAGGTGGAGTGTATTCCGCCTGTTCTAGTTGGAGTCGCACTCCCTCTGAAGGAGTAGGTTCATAGCTTGTGGGTGCTCCTTGATCCATCTTTGTCACATAAGGTTTGGTGACCCAGCTATACCCCTGTCTGGACAGGGATAGCCTGGCTTCAATAATCTATGCTCTGGTAATCTTTAAATTAGATTACTGCAATGCACTTTATGTGGGGCTGCCTTAGAAGGCAGTTCAGAGCTGCATCTGCTGTAAAATGCAGCAGCCAGATTGCTAACTGGAACTTGCAGGTCTGACTATATAAGACCAGTTCTGGCCCACTTGCATCGGCTGCCTGTATGCATCTAGTCCCAATTCAAGGTGCTGCCTGCAAGCTATAAAGCCTTACATGGCTTGGGACCACAACATCTGTCAAAGCATCTTTCCCAGCTGCGATCTACTCAGACTCTGCACAGCTTCTGAGGTCTTCTTCCGAGTGCGAATTCTGAGGGACCATTGGAGGGTGGTAACAAGGGAGAGGGCTTTCTCAGCAGTGCACACCCCCCTCCTCCCATGTATGGAAGAACCTCCCCATTGCAGCCTGGCTGGCATCAAAATTTTCATCTTGTGGGCATCAGGGTAAGACAGTTCTTACCTCTGGGGCCTTTAAAGACTTACTTGGCCACCCAGGGGCTTGAGGGGGGTCACCCATCCCATGTGTTCTGCTGGGATCATTCTTTTGCAATTCTTTGCAGTTGTTTATTTTTATCATCTGATTTAGCTGCCTTAAACTTTTAATGATTTTCTAATTTTATGATATTTTTAATTATATTTTTATCAACTGTTGTCAACTGTCCAGAGAGCTTTGGCTATGGGTGGTACAGAAATGAAACATAGAGTTAGAAGGGGCCTCCCAGGCCATCTAGTCTGTCTCCCAGCACAAGCTGGCTCTGCTCATGTAATCCCCAATACGTGGTTGTCACATCTTTCCTTGAACGCTTTCACTGATGGGGCCTCCACCACCTCCCGTGGAAGCCCATTCCACACCACAGGGGTCCTAAGCATCGGGAAGTACTTCCTGACATCCAAGCTGAAGCCCAGTTCCTTGAGCTTTGCCCCGTTGGACCATGTCCTTTCCTCCATCACAGGGGAGAACAGGACACAACCCTCTACCATGTGATACCTCTTCACATCCCTGTAAGTCACTCAGAGATCCCCTCCGAGTCTCCTCTTCTCCAGGCTGAAGACACCCAGCTCCCTCAGTCTCATCTCATACGGCATCCCCCACAATTTGGCTCCCATCCATATAACCCTGTGCTGATCTGATTCTAACCCAGGGGTCGGCAACCTTTAACACTCAAAGAGCCATTTGGACCCGTTTCCCGCACAAAAGAAAACACCGGGAGCCGCAAAACCTTTTTGACATCTAAAATGAAGATAACACTGCATGCATCGGTTTTTACCTTAATGCTATGTATATCTTCATTAAGATTTAGCTGCAGCTCTTGTTCAGTCACTAAAAACTGTCATTTTTAATCTTACATTATAAACTAGTAGGACTCCTTTCATATATTTTGAATAGGAGAACAGCTTCCTGCAGAGTCAAAGTCAGTGCTAAAGGGCTGCATGCATTAAACAGCAAACCCCATAAGCCTGTCAGCAGTAAAAGCAAATGAATCTACCCACATATCATTAAACGTTTGGTTTTCTTCAGAAACTTTTCTTTTCTTCGATTATTCCATGGTTGGCCTACCGGGGGAAGTTGCAGATATAGGTGCGTTTAGTGACTGATTGGCAGATAAACAGTCAAGTGATGTGAATTGTGACAGGTCCCAAGCGCAGCTTTTATCGTTCAGAGGAAAGAGATTACATTTGGACAAAGAGAATCTTTTCAGCAGCATTTTGTGTAACATGAGAGCCTGCAGGAAGCTTGTTCCACTCTTTCCCTGCAGTGTCGCAATTTACTTAACCTGCTAGCGCTGCGCTCGAGTGGATGCCTCATCATCACCTATTGGTCTTTTGTAACTCGGAGTCTCGGTTGCAGATCGGTGGCTGTGAGGCGTATTTTGGGCGATGGAGCCGCAGCAGAGGGATGCAAGAGCCACGTGCAGCTCCAGAGCCGTGGGTTGCCGACCCCTGTTCTAACCTAACTATGTCTCTCTTATAATGTGGAGCCAACAATTGGCCACAGTACTCCAGCTGTGGGTGCACCACTTTGTGGGTTCAAAGCAGTGCTAACACCTCTACAAAATGGAAAAAATAACAGCACTCCCTAACTACTGCTGACACCTGGCCCAAGTGCCTGCTATTGCGGGAGACGCACTGCCACAGCAGCCCCGGCAAGGACTATTCAGCCTCCGCTCGAAACCTGTGATGCAAAAGCTTGCCATCCTCACAGCAGCTTGTTCCACTGCCAAACAGAGCATATCAGCAGAAGTTTCTTCCGAAATTTTAATCAACATCCTCTTTCTTTTATGATTCAAGTCCTACTCTCAGCTAATATTATTAATTTCATTTCCATACTAGACAATAGCTGAAGCAGCTTACAACAATTCATAAAATACAATCATAAAAGAGCAATACAATACACAATACAGCCTTTTGTATAAAATAAACCCAAAGTACAGTCTTTCATATTTTGTAGAAAATACTATATAGCCTTTTAGTCTTCTTTTCTCTAGGCTAAACTTACTTAACTCCTTCAACCTTTTCTTGTAGGACTTGGTCTCCAGACTCCTTACCTGGAAAATGGGAAAACCAAGGGCTAACCCAATACCCCTCCTGCCCGTACAGTTACAAGGGTTCCCGTTTTGCTTTCCTTGAGAAACCGAAGCCATCCTACTCACACAAGATGGAGGTAGCTCCACTAGGTGCGCCTTCTGCTGCTGAGCCTGGCGTGGTTCCCAGCGCGCTGCTCCTCCGGCCGCTGCTCCCTGCATCTGGGACTGTGTTGCTGGATGTGGACGGCAGAGGTGGGGCAGGAGAACTGGGGGTTGCAGTGGAGGCAACGCTAGCAGCAGCAGGAGCAGAGGAGGCGGTGGCAGGAGAAGCAGCAATCGCTGCTGAAGTATCTTGAGACCTAAGAATAAAACCAAGTGACTGATGAGAACTGGTGGTGCTGTCTGAAGGACAAAGGAAGCAGCTACACTCCTGGGCTTTTAACCTAACCTGAACTTTGAGAGGGTCATATTTCTTTCCTTGAAATAAAAGACAACCACCATCTCCCTGAAAAGTGCATTAAAATCTTTTGTTTCATGCAAGAATTCTGGGAACCAGTGAACCAGCAGCCCAGAATAGGGAAAATCAAGCTGCAGAGAAAATTGAGCACAAGTTTTTCCTTCTTTTAAAAATGTAACTATTTAGAAAGAGTACATTCGGCTTTCAACAGTAAGAATGGCCTACATATTGCTTTCACTAAAAGAGACCTCTAGCCATCAGTTTCTACTGTTACAATTCAAAGTGGGAATGCAGAAAAAGGGCTAGACAGCAGCTGCAAGTCAGGCCAGGGCAACCAGCAGCCTTAAGTCAAGCTGCACACAGCAGGCAGCTACAGGACCCTGGAGAGACCCAGTTGAAAGGCAGCTGCATGCAGGAGGAATGCTGCCAGATCCACAGCAGACCAACCATGGCTAGGGGGCAAATGGGCACTATTTGGAAACACAGGGAAGCAGTCACTAGAAAGTATCTGAACTGGAAGCGGAACTCGCTCAAGTAAGCACGTACTTCTGTGGGGTTTTGATCACCAGGTGCACGGTTAATCCATCTTTGATCCCATGCTGATTCAATGTATCCCCATCTTTCAGAATCTTCCCAGCAAAGATCAGAACCAGCTGATCCTGTTTAGCTTTGAACCGTCTGGAAATCTCCTCTTTGAACTAGAAAACATCATTTTAGAAAGTCACAAAAGGGACAGCTCATGGCAGCTAACTTCAGCCCTCCTCCAGTCCTGCCTTCCTTTGCCAGGACCTCCTCCACTCCAACACTGCCTTTAATCTCTCCACTGAGCATTTCTTTCAGAGTACCCTGTCTTCCACCTCCTCCCTCTTGATGCCAACCCACTCTCTGCCCCAGCAGCATCCTACTCCCCAAATTGCCTTGTTCCTAAATGCCACTGAAGCACAAGCCAGGAGTCCTCGAGCATAGAAGTGGTTGCTGCTAAGACCACCTGTGCTGCTGGCCAATATGATGCTGCGGCTACTATTTTTAATTGATGGTTAGCAACGCTGCTCTTTCCTTCCTCCCTTCCTTCCCTGCTAGTTTTTCTGCACATTGCATTGCTATCACAGAAACCTTGCATAAAGAAGCTGCCTTGAAGGGATTCCAGCCTGAGAAGGGCCCTCTCAGCATCGTTAAGCGAAAACCGACACGCCATTCCGCTCCGCAGAGCGGCGCGCTCAGCCCTTCCAGCAGCAGCTCATTCTGACCGGCCTGACGGGATCCTGAGGGGCGCTCGGAGCACCCGAGAGGGCAGGGGCCGCCTCCTGCGAGCGCCCCCATCTCCGCCCCCCGGTCCAGCCCGCCCTTGCGCCTTCCCCAGCCCCACGGCCAGGCACGGCCTTTGCGCGGGACTGTCACGTCGCTCCCCGCAGGAAGCTCGCAGCCTGACCTCGGGCCCCTCCGCCGCCCCGCCAGGGGGGCGGCTGCAGGCCCCGGGGAGCTGCGCTGCCCCCGCCGGCAGGCCGGGTCCGCCTTCTCCGGACTCCCGCGTCCCCGCAGGAGGCGGTCGCCGGCGCCGGCGAGCAGGCGGTAACGGAGGGAGCTGGGGACCAGCAGCCGGCGGGGGCGGGCCGGCCGCGGCGCCCACGGAAATCGGTCCCGCCCCTCGCCCGGACCAACCGACCTCCCTGACGGAGACGCGCTCGCCGGTGAGGATCTCCTCCTTGTCCTTCGGGGTCTTCACCGTCACGCGGATCAGGAGCCCGCACGGGCCCGCCTCCGGGCCGCCCACGCCCCCATCGCCCGCCCCGCCGCCGGGGCCCGGCTGCGAGGAGGACGAGGCGCCCGGTGCGCCGCCGCCGCCGCCGCTCAGCTCCGCCATCTTGGCCGCCCGCCCACCGGCCACCGAGCACGCAGCGCCAAACCGGCCCCGGCGGCGGCACGACCATAGAGAGGGAGGGCGGCGCCGAAGGGCCGTCGCGGCACTTCCGGTTTCTCGTTCCCCTCCTGCTCCTTCCGGCGTGCGGCGCTCCGACCTGCGGCTGGCGCGGCGCGTTCGCTCGGCGTGGGAGAACCGGCCGCCGCGGGGAAGGGGCGCCCCCAGAGCCCGTGCTCGTCGGAGGAGCGTCCCGGCTTGCGGCTGGCGGCTCGGCAGGAAGCCGCTCTAGCCGTTCCCGGAAGCGCGGCGCCTCCTCCGCTTCGGCGAAGGGTTCCGGGATCGGAGCCGGCGAGAGCGGCCGCGCCTCCTGCCTGGCCATGCTGCGCCCCAAGGCCCTGACGCAGGTGCTGAGCCAGGCTAACACCGGAGGGGTCCAGAGCACCCTGTGAGTCGGCGGCGGCGGGGGCAGAGTGCGGCGCGGCCCGGCCCGGCGAGTACCAGCCGCCGGCGCAGCCTGCGGGGGCCGGGCCGGGCCGGGGGCGGCGGCGGTCGCGATACTGGCGCGCGAACGGTGGGAGGGCGCTCGGGCTCGGGCGACGAGGAGCGCTCGTAGGGAAGCTCCGGCGGGAGCTGCCCTGCGTGGGTACAGATGGCCCCGCGCTCCGTCGCCGGCTGGCCGGCGTGGAGGTGGGCTAGTTCCCGGCGTTGGTGGGCTGCGCTACCCTCCCTGGACCCCACCAAGGACCGCCTTTCTATTGTTCTCCAATCTAAAGGGTGCTCTAAAGCCGTGGTTTTCAAGCTTTTAACCGTTGGGGATCGGCCAAAATACGAAAATTGTTTTGGGGGCCGCTGAGGCAGAAATAAAAAGCCTTATATACATAATATGGCATTTTGTGTATTAGTTTTTAAATGTTGTACCAAAAAAATCTCTAAAATATCAAGAAACTGAGCAGTAAAATGCTAATAAAAGAATACAATACTGAAATTAAATGCAATTGTATACAACTGAAATTTTTAGAGAGCAATATGTAATTCAAGGCTACTGCAAAAACTGCTGTTGCTTCTTTTCAAGAATGCTTGATCACAAATTTACAACAGCAAAATACAAAATACAAATGCAGTACTATGCTTATAGCAAATATGAATGCAGATACAATATTAATAACACAGCAATACAAAATCATTCAGAGTTACTTAATATAATAATATTCATTATGTTAAATACTGAAATACAATGAACCCCACCCTAGTCAAACCCCCATACATACCAGCACAGATTGGCTGAGAACACACTCCCATAGCACAAGCCTGCCTCAGCACTTCCCAGCCTAGCAGAAAACAACAGAGAAAGGAGAAGGCCTGGTCTCAGGTCCCTGCCCAGGGAGCTGACCTGGCATGGCACTGGTTCCCCTTGAGGAATCTGCAGCAAGAGCACAGTGAGCCCCACAGTGGGTGTGGCAAGTGAGATGCCCCTGTCTTGGGCACGCGTGACGGCGGCTTTTTCACAGACCAGCAATGAAAACCGCTGCTCTGTAGTATCAGCTGGCAACTATATGACAGCAGACTTACTTTGTGACATGTCCTTCCTCTGGAATCGTCTCCCTGGCATAGTCGTGTACTTCCAATGAATATTGAAATATTATCCTGTTGTTTCCTATTATCAGTTTGTCCAGACGTTGTACTGTATTGGTTTATAACATGCCACAAGTCACTTTGAGGTTTTAAGAAGGGCGAGAAACATTTAGATATTCTTAGTAAATAAGTGAATGCCCACGATACCCGTGGCTTCTAATTCTTGCAGTTCTTCTCACCCCAGGCTTCTGAACAATGAAGGCTCACTCCTTGCATATTCCGGTTATGGAGACACGGATGCCAGAGTCACAGCTGCCATTGCCAGCAACATTTGGGTGGCTTATGACAAGAATGGGCACCAGGCATTCAATGAGGACAACTTGAAGTTCATCCTTATGGACTGCATGGTATGTCTCCTAAGTTTTGTATGCTTGAAGCCTGCTCTGTTAGCACAGAATCATGGAGGAGCAGAGCTAGAAGGGGGGGGGGGGGCTCCACCTTAAGCCGTCCATCTCAGGTGGCTGTGCACTTGGGCCCTGAATGGCTCCAGTCTGGGAGAGCCCACCACCTCCCTGGGCCATTGGTTGCATTGTGTACTGCTCTAACAGTCAGGTAGTTCTTCCTAATGTTCAGGCAGAATCTGGTTTCCTGCAACTCAGTCTCTCTTCACAGGGCTTTCTTTCTGGTCCCCAAGTCATCCTGGTTGCCCTCCTCAAGACTCTTTCCAGCTTGTCTGCATCTTTCCTAAACTGTGGTGTCCAAAACTGAACATGGTGTTCTAGATGAGGCTCAGTAGAGAAGAACTAGTGCTTCAGATGATTTGCAAGTGGCACTTCTGTCGATGCATTCTAAAATAGCATTTGTAGTAGCATCACACAGTTGACTGAAATTCAGGTTTTGATCTGTAACAATTTCAAGATTCTTCTGACATGCAGTATGGTTGAGCCAAGTATTCCCCCTCTTGTACAACCATACATTTGACTTCTTTGTCCTAGTTGCAGAACCTGACATTTGTCCTTATTAAATTTCACTCTGTTGTTTTCAGCCCAGTGCTTAAATCTATCAAGATCACCTTGAATCTTCTTTCTGTCTTCCGGAGTACTGGGTATCCCACACAGTTTTATGTCATCTGCAAATCTAGTAATCGTTTCCTGCACTTCCTCATAGAATCATAGACTAGTAGAGTTGGGAGGGCCAGAGGGCCATTGGCTCCAACACCCTGCCTATTGCAAGAGATCAAGTCGAACCATCCACCTCAGATTGCTGTCCAATTGCTTCTTGAATGCCCACAACCTCCCTAGTTCATTGGGCCCGTTGTACTGCTCTAATGATCAGGAAATTCTTCCTGTTACCTAGCCAAAATCTGGCTTTCTCTAACTTGAACCCATTATTCCATGTCATGCATTCTGAGATTATTGAGAAGAGATCCTGTCCTTCCTTTTCATGACAGCTTTTCAGGTACCTGTGGAATGCTATGATGTCTCTCCTCAGTCTTCTTGAGGCTAAAGCTGCCCAGTTCTTTCTATCTCTCTTCAAAGGGCTTTGTTTCCAGTCCTTGAATCACCCTTGTTGCCCTCCTCTGAACCCTTTCCAGCTTGCCTGCACTTTTCTTAAACTCTGGAGCCCAGAGCTGGACACAGTCCTCCAGAGGAGGCCTAACAAGTGTTGAGTAAAGGGGAACTAGTATTTCATGCGATTTGGAAGTGATACTTCTAATAATGCAGCCTAGAATAGCAGTTACATCACACTGTTGACTCTTACTCAACTTGTGACCTACAATAATTCCAAGATCGTTCTCACTTGCAGTATTGTTGAGCTAAGTATTTCCCTTCTTGTAATGATGCATTTGGTTTCTTTGTCCTTGGGGCAGAGTAGGGTATTTGTCACTGCTGAATTTCATTCTGTTGTTTTCAGCCCAGCACAACCTACCAAGCTACCTTAAATCTTATTTTTGTTTTCAAGGGTATTAGCTATCCTACCCAATTTCAGGTCATCTGCAAATCTAAACATTGTTCCCTGCACTTCCTCATCCAAGTGATTCATATGTTAAAGAGCACTGGGTCTAGGACCGAATCCTGCATCGGTTTGACAAGGTGCCTTGGATGAGCACTCCTTTGAGTCCCGTTCTGTAGCCACCTGTGGATCCACCTGACAGTTGTTCCATCTTGCCCACTTTTACCTAGTTTGCTAATCAGGAGATCATGGGGCACTTGGTCAAATGCTTTGCTGTATTCAAGATAGATTATGTCCACAGCATTTCCACAATCCACCACATTGGTTACCCAGTCAAGGAAGGTTATCCAGTGCCACCTTGTCCACTAAATCCTCCCTGTTGGTTAGTATCAAGTCAGGGATAGCCTGTCATTTAGTTCCTCTTTCCACTTTCTGTAGGAGGAGGTTCTTAAACATGTGTTAGGAATCTCTTGGAGGTGGTCAGTTCAGGTGACGGCACAAAGCCCAGCTGGCAGAAGTGATGATTTGCACACCTGCTTCAAATATGCCTTCCCTTTTTGACTAGCTGACTCCTTTCCAATCACAGAGCCTGCCAATTCAGATGCTTCAGGAAACAGGCACGCTCTGCCAGCCGTGGTTTGGCACCGCTGTCGAATCAATCCTCCGCCCGTTGCTGGGCGCATGTTTCGTGTTCTCTGCTGAGCAGCCTGCCACCTGCTGAGTTCTGCAGGTAGACAGGTGCTCCTTTAACCAGTGGACACGATGTGTTGGACTGGATGCTTGTCGCTGTGTAGCCTGGCGGTTGTGGTCACGGAATACTCACCGCAGATGTTGTGCAAGCGTCCCAACTACTGTGTCACCAAAGGAGGCCTGTGAGTGCCAGCTGTGCACAGTCCTTGGTGGTGGGGCGTCTGTTTCTTGGGTCCAGTGTCACCCATCCTCGTGGCCGTCCATCGGCACTCCCGAACGGCCAGCTGCGCAGTCGGGGTGTAGCGCGGGGTTCAGCAACTTTCGGCTCCCTGGACATTTTGTCCCACAGCTCCCGCCTGTGCTCGTTAGGGCTGATGGGAGTCGCCGAGCAGCGCATCTGAAGGGCCGCAAGTTGCCCGCCCTGGCACAGGGCAACACTTCTCGGGTGGGAAGCCTACCAGTTGTACAGTCTGGACCGTTTTTGTATGCCCTCACATTCTTTTTCCCCCTCCTTTTCATCTCCCCCTCCCCGCAAACAAATCCCCAGGAGGGCCGTGTCGCGATCACCAGAGTCGCCAACCTGCTGCTGTGTATGTACGCGAAGGAGACGGTGGGCTTTGGCATGCTGAAAGCAAAGGTGAGGTGCCCCCGGCTGGCCCTGAGGTGCTTGCTCGGCTCTGTGTGCGCCCCTGCTGCTTACGGGCCTGGCTCTGCTCTGGCGGGCAGTTTGCCTGGGAGGGGCGCACGGAAGTGGCTGTGCCGGAACTGGTCACCCGGGCTGTGATGCGAGGGCTGCAGCAACTCCAGCCAAGCGTCCAGCGGGAATGTGAAGGTCGGGAGGTCTTTCGAGCAGGAAGGTCTGGTGGGTCAAAGCCTGTTTCAGGCGGACATGGCTAGTCTTCTGGTGTTTACTCTTTGTTTTAACTAGTTTATTGCAATTTTTGAACAATGCAAATGAAAGTGGGGAGGGGAATGGGTGAAAAGGTGTGTCTGCATAAATTGGGAAGACGTGTGTGTCAGACTACTTGGTTTTTAAGTTGACACAAGAGTCTTTGTTCTTGTAGAAATTGAGGGTTAAAGTGCATTACATGTTGATTCAAGGCCAGTTGTAGACAAGGGCTCTGATGTACAGTTTTCTGGGAGTTCATCCCATTGAATTTGGTGGGGCTCATTTCTCAGAGAACATTCAGAGTAAGTAAGGGGATAATCGAACCCCTGTTTACATAGGAACAAATCCCACAAGAGACATGGGGTGGGCTTGCACACCAGGGCAACCCTTCGTGCTGAATCACCACAATGCGTGAACAATGAAGTTTAGCACCCAGCAGCTGGCCAGGCATGTCATGGTTGCTTTGCTCCGCCTCCCGCCTCCCATCTTCTCTCCGCCTGGTGGTATCCCTGGCCAGTTTGGGCTTGCTGCAGCTCTCCAAGGGTCTCTGCTGAGCGGCAGTGTCCGCGCTCCGAAGCTCAAGAGGGGGACCCTTCGTAGTCAGTGTGATGCTGCTATCTACAAGAATCAGAATTAAAATGGTGCAAAGAAACCAAGAGACAAACCTTGCAGCCCTGGTTCACAAGACTCACAGACTGGGTCACCAACTCCTGTACTGGTGTCAGATTTAACCCTTGGTGAGCTGCAGCACCCACCGGTACCAGTTTGTACATTCATGTCACACTAGCCTGGCCACCAGTTGTTTAACCCTCACATAACGCACAGTGGCCAGGTTCACCCAGCGTGGCAACCCCGCCAGTTGGGGGCTGACTATGCAAAATGACTGTGCTGGCAGGAGGGCAGCAGGAGCTTAGCTGCTCGTGGCTGGGATGTGGCCCTTCCTTTCCTGAGACGGTGCAGCGCTGCTCCCAGGCAGAGGAGGGACCACAAGAGGCAGTTCATCTGGGCAAAGCTCAGTGGCTGAGACCAAGTGAGTGCAGGCCCAGGCTGGTGAGAGGCTGCCTGTAAATGGATCTCTGGCGTGGACGCTAGATTTTTGTTCTGTGGCCTGGCCTGCAGGGTGTCTCCTGCCAAAGCACAGGACCCTCTCCCAGTCATGCTGCCCTCAGTAGCTGGTGCAGCTGCTCCCCAGAGGCTGGCCTGCTGCCGTTCTCTCCAGCCGCCTCCCACTTGCCCCTCGGCATGGGGGTGCCGTTGTCCCTCTAGACGCCACAGCCCTGCAAGCAAAGCAACAGCTGCTTCTTGTCTGTTCTGTGGGGCCATTTGGAGCTCTGGTTCCTGATTGCAGTTCAGGCACAGCCCTGCAAGCAAAGCAACAGCTGCTTCTTGTCTGTTCTGTCTGTCTGTGGGGCCGTTTGGAGCTCTGGTTCCTAATTGCAGTTCAGGTGAGGGCTGACATCTGGACGAAGCTGGGTCCAGCTTATTGGAATTGTGTGGCAACTGCGTGTTCAGCCGGCCTGACCTTGTGCTTTTTCCAGGCTCAGGCTTTGGTCCAGTACCTTGAGGACCCCCTCACCCAGGTGGCTGCTTCCTGAGCTGGCAGGACTTCTCTCGCTCAAGGCTGATCTCCAGAGAAGCATTTTGCCTTGCAGGCTGCACCTCCCAGCAGCCTTGTGGATCGCATGTATTTCAAAAATGAAAATAGCAGTGGGAAGAGAATAAAAGGGTATTCTTAGTGCTTGAGTTCTGTCTCTTTGAGGACGGGTGGAAGGGGCTGGGGCCACATTGGAGAACATTTTGCAATCCAAAGATTCTTCAGTGTAATGCTGAGCTGCTAACAATAAAAATTAACAAATCATTTCATAAAAGCAAGGCTGAGTTGTTAACAAAATGGAAGGATGGGAAGCAGTGGGTAGAACATAAAATGCGATGCAGCCGCCAAAATGGCAAATGCTATTTTGGGGTGCATGAACAGAAATATTACTTCCAAATCATGAGAAGTAGTAGTTCCTTTGTACTCCTCACTAGTCAGACCACCTCTGGAATATTGTGTTCAGTTCTGGACACCAAGATTTAAGAAAGATGCAGGAAAGGGTCTAGAGGAGGGCAACCAAAATGATCCAGGCTTTGGAAGCGCTGCCCTGTGAGAAGACACTGAGGGAGCTGGGCATGCCTAGCCTTGAGAAGAGAAGACTGAGGGGGACATGATACCCCTCTCTAAGTACCTCAAAGGCTGTCACAAAGAGGAGGGCCAAGATCTCTTCTTGCTGATGCCAGAGTGCGGGACACAGAATAATCAGCTCAAGCTGCGACAACCCAGATTCAGGCTGGACATCAGGAAAAGCTTCCTCATGGTCAGAGCAACACAGCAGTGGAATCAGCTGCCCAGAGAGGTGGTGGGCGCTCCCACACTGGAGAGTTCAGAAAGAAATCGGGCAGCCATTGGAGTGGGATGGTGTGAACTGGTGTCCTGCAACAGCAGGGGTCGGACCCGATGGCCTTCATGGCCCCTTCCAGCTCTACTATTCCATGATTCCTATTGGCAATCGCCTGGTGGATTGGGGTCTCGAGTGGGTGATGCCTGGACTTCCCTTCTGTGTCTGCTAGAGCACAAAAGCAAAAGGGGGAGTATTGCTTACACAGATGAGAGATGGGCGTGTACAATAGAAAATCGCATTTACGGTCCTGCAGCCCATTTCTTGGCATATTCTCCACTGAACAAAGTGGACCTTACTTTCAAGTAAACATGCATAACTCCCTGCCATAGAATTGCATTTCATGTTGCAACCTGGGCCTGGTGTTGAAGATGTAATCCAGGTTGGAAAAGTCCGGAGACAGTCCGCTTTTTAGTTCTGTTGCAAAGTTGAGAAGCTGTACTGAAGCTATCCTCTTGGTGGCAGCAAAGGATCAAAAGGCACTTCCACGGCTGCTCCCGTGCCTTGGCCCCTTCCTTGAGGTGTGGTTCCTTTCAGTGGGAGGACACATTTGCTGGACTGTGAGTCTTATTTAACTCTTCCTACACCTGCCTTCTCCCATGCAGATCCCCCCCCCCCCACCATTTCCAGCTGGGGAACACGCCTGTATAAATCTCCTGGCCCAGGTTTGCCCTGCAAGGCTTTTGCCACCAACCACATATTCTCAGGAGAGGCTAGGCAGCAATTGTCAGGTTCCCTGGAGTCTCAAATGAGTACCTGTTCTAGAAGAGAAGCTGATAGAAATAGCTTGGAGTTGAATCCCGGTACTTAAAGTGGCAGTAACACTCTGGGCAGAAGCGCTTGTTTCCGCCCTCCATTCAGCTTGTCGACTTAAGGCTGCTGCCTTGCACACGCTTGGAAGGAAGTCTCCTTGAACTCCGTAGGGTCGATGTGCGCAAGTACATGCAAAGCATGAAGCATGTTTCCGGCTTCACGCGTGAGAGTGTTCCCCCTTCCAGCTAATTATCGAAAGACCGCATAGGCCGAGCCACGGACGAGTTCACGGGCGGGGGGCCTTTGTGGCATCCTTATGTGGCGTGGGGGCGCATCATCTTTGCAGGTGTGGGCCACACACTTTGCGGTGTGCTCTGAGAGGCCAAAGCCATCCTGGGATGGTGGAGCAGAAGGGAGGCACGCTGGCCTGGGCCACGGACTGCGCCGCGGGCTTCCAGTCGGCTGCAGCCCCCCTCCCAGGGTGAGCAGTGCACCTGCTTCACCGGCTGCGGGTGCAGCAGGCTGGGACCCTGAGGACGCAGGCCGGGTCTGCGGCTCCCCGGCAGGCAGCCCTCGCTTGGCAAGTGAAGTGTTGCTGTCCTGTTTGCGTTCCTCAGCCAGCCGAGCCTGAGCGGTCGCTCCCCTGGCCAGGCTTGCGCGCCTTCCCTAGAGGGGTTCCCTGCAGTGGGACGGACGGGGAGAGGGCTGACGTGCAGCTGCGCCCGCACCCTTGAACGCCCCCCTGACCAGCCCACCGGCCCTGGCACCCGCAGTGGGGGCGAGACACACGGGAGCGAGCAGCTTTGCTGGGCCAGACAGCTGCGCCCTCGGAGCTCACTGCGCTCCAGCGATGTCAGCACCTGCACAGACAGTTGGCCTCCACGGTGCCTTATTGATCCGTGTAATCCCGTCTCCTAATTGCGCTGTAATGTAGGCGGCTGCTGGGCGCATGTGCTGTGCCACGAACAGGTGACCTGCACGAGCCAGCCGTTTGCTCTGTGCTCTTGGTCAGAGGGCTCCAAGGTGACCCCGCCGGCCCATCCATCCCAGCTGATCCATGCAGTGCACTGTAAGCTTTGGTAACCCAGCTACTGCCCTGACTGTTGCACAACAATAAATGGTCTCCTGTAAGTAGTCCATGGTGCAGGGTTGTTATTTCTTGAGGATCACAAAGAACCTCTTGCCCCCGGCCAGAGGAGCTTCCCATGCCCTTGCCGAGCTGGCCCGGCAGGCCGCGGGGAGCAGGGCGTGGGTGGCTGACGGGTGGGCACGACGCTGGGGCCAGGGTGCTGGCACGAGGCTGCCCTCTGTCGGCACGGAGGGCTGGAGGCTGGCAGCATGGTCAGTGCTGGGGATCTAGTCACACAAAGGAGGTCCAGGTTGAGGAGGAAGGCCACAGGGACGGGGGGACTGGGCTGGAGCGTGGCGCGAGTGAGGCAGGAGCAACTGGAGAGGGGCCGGAGCCAGGCAGGGACGAGGAGCCAGGCACGGAGAGGCGAGAGCCAGAGCACAAGCCGTTGTAGGAACGGCATGCGTTGCCGTGGCAGAGGCCTCTTAGCCGCTCCTTCCAGGCGCACCGCAGGATTGCCTCTCAGCTGTTCCCTGCAAGTGCCTGCAAAAACGCCCCTGGTTCTGCAGGCACTCACAGGACCAGGTCCTGGTACTGACAGTATCTCCCCCCCACCCCCGCCGCCACTCGGGAAAGGGGCTCCATGGACCTGGCATCTTTGGTGTGATGCACACACATCCTGTCCAAGCTCATGCACACTCAGACAGAGCGCTCAGTGGCTGTTCTCATGAGGATTCAGATTCTGAGGCCAAACTGGAGCTGGTTTGTCACACAGTCCAACCTCAAGACAAGGCTCAAGGTCTTGGAACCAGGCAGGGGCTGCCACATGACGAGATCAGCCCAAGGACACGGAAGCATCCGCAGCAACTCTCCCCTGGGATAGCTGGAGAGCTGCTACTCCCAGGGCGGGATGTGGAAAGGGAGGTGGTCTCAGAGCAAGCTGAGCTGGGGCATGGTCTCGAGGTGCCACCCACAGGTCAGGATGCCGAAATGGCTACTTCCTCCAGTGGGGAGCTTGCGGGCAATGGCCCAGTGGCTTGGCGGCAAAGTCAGCACGGAGCCTGGCTGGGGGCACGGAGGGAGGAGCGTCAACATGCCTGCTTCAGCAGTGCCCTTCCTCCACGGCTGGCACCCAGAAGGGTTCATAAGGGAAGCTTTGGCTAATGAAGTGCAGACATAGTTCAACATTTTACTTGGAAGCTTGTATGACAATAAACAGAATTAAAGGAGAAAACACTGGTACAACTGTTGCTGCCAGAGGGAGACAAATGGCTCACAACATCAGGGTGTGCATGGTGGAAGGCACAGACCTTGGTGGGGCATGAATGTTTTCAACTGGTTCCCAGGATTGCTCCTCTGTTCCACGGCCCTCCCGATCCACCGGGTAGAAGAGCTTGCCACAAGGCTTCCTTGAGTCCAGGGTTTGGGGCACGTGGTATTCTCATGTCCATCAACTTCTGTGGGTGGAGGTGGCAGAAAGGTGCAGCCTGGGAATGGTTTGGGATGGCTGGGTTTCAGCTGGGAGATGGGGTGGATCTTGAGGGTATCAGGACAGTCCAGTTTAAAGGTCACAGGATTTACCTGCTGGATGATTGGGCAGTGCCCTTGATATCGGTCCAGTTTGGCAGGGGTGGTGGGACTGGTGGTGTTCCAGGGAAAGCCAGACCTCGTCCCCCACCTTGATGGTGGGCCCCTCTCAGCTTTGTCAGTTCACCCTGGGTCTTGTAGTTGGCCGTGACTTGGTCCGGGAAATGGGTCGGTTCACTGTGAACTTCCTGGACGTGAGTGACAGTCATTGGTGGACAGAACTAAAGCTGTGGCTGGGGTGCATGGGTGATCTCGAGGGCAGTAGCCAAAAGGGGCAGAGAAGAGGCACTGTCCTGTGGCAGGCGTTATTGTATGGACACACCACTGAGGGCAGGAGGTCAACCCAGTCCTCTTGATGGCAATGGAGGAAGCCGTAGAGATAGTGCTCCAATACCTGCTTTACCTATTCATCTGCAGGTGATAAGCCAGCGATAACCTCCTTTGGACACTCGGGAGTTCTGAGAAGACTGCCCAGAAGCAGGAGGTGAACTGGGGGTCCCAGTCAGAGCAAACCACATTGGGCAGGCCATGGAAATGGAAGACATGTGGAAGGAACAAGTGGCTTTCTGGGAGGCGTTGGGGATGCAACAAAGAGGGACAAAATGAGCGCCAAGGTAAACAGGGCCACCCCTATCGAGATGGTAGTGTGACCTTGGGATGGGGGCAGTCCACAGTGAAGTCCAGGGACACCATGCGCCATGGCTTGGGACGTGTTGGGAGGGGTTGCAAAAGACCTGGGGTTTCTAGTGAGGAACCTTGACCTGTGCACAGGTCTGCAGGACTGGGCAAACTTCCTGACATCAGACCAAAGGGCTGGCCACCAAAAGGCCTTGAAAATCAGAGCGAGTGTCTTGGAATAGCCTGGAGTCCTGCTTCAAGAGGCTCATGGTG